GCCACAGCTGTTCGTCTCACGGCTGTGACAAGCCTGTACGGATGCTGTCACTTAGCAACCATTGCCACTTGTGTTTTAACGGCAGCTTTTTGTTTTTGGCACGTAATGAGAGTTGTAATCACAAGATCAGTCCCATCAAGGGTGTTTGTATTTGAGAGCAATGGGCTTCAGGTCTCACCTGTGCCCCTGCCCAGCCTATATAAGGGCTAAATCAGAAGAATTGCATGTGTGGTGGCTAATGCAGCTTAATACGGGTTTATTTTGGAGCTGGCTTGGCTGGGCCAAATCATGTTTCAAGATGTACAGCCTGGATTCACCATCTGCTAGACCGGGCTGTGCAGCTCCTTCGTGCTGGTCAAAGCCCAGCCCAGAAGCTGGTTCGAGGCCAAAGTTCTGAGCGTGGCTGAAACATCTGAGCAGGGCGGTGGCGGTGGTGGTGAGGGACCAGCCGAAGCAAGCCTTGATGTCCCTATGCACAGCAGCACAAGCTTCCTGCTCCCTTCTACTGACACAGCCTGGAAGCTCAGGGAATATGGGGTCAATAGAGACTGGAAATATGAGGACCGAGAAATAATGAAATGGGAGAACTGAAGATCTGAAAGTGTATCTATCTCTTAAGGGTAATTCCCACCTATCTTGCACTGAAAAGGAGTGAAAAGGGGCAGTCCTACCACGGTTCAAGCCCTAACACTTTACAGGAGCTGTTTAAGGTCATCGGTTTACTTTATACCTGATCTGGTCTAATCAGGCAATGTCCCCCAAAGGAGTGGGTGCAACCTCTGTCCCAGACAGCACGTTCCTGCCCTTGCACGGAGTTTAACAACTGAGCAACTGCAGAAGAAGCTGGGGAGTAACTTGTTTTGGATGGGTTTGTTTCGGAGACAGCCATGGGAAAGGCATCTTCGCAGCCCTGTTCTATGTTTATGGTAAATACAGTCCTTGAACACCTTAAGCTGCTGTGCTCTAAGCAGAGACTTGGTATTGATATTACAGATAGAAATACTGTTTTCTTTAGTTTCATTTTGCTTTAACTGAAACAGTTGTGTAATTGCACTTGTAGTATTGCAGGGACTCTTGATGTGGACTGCTCATTTCCCCTTCCATCTGGGGATGAATTATAAGTGTATCCATGATGTGTGTTTGCAGAGCCCTGAATGCTTTCACTGCAGCTGTACATAATCAGCTTTGTTCCACCTTGTCCAGACAGACACACCGCTTCTTTGAAAGAAAGTCCTTCCATTTCTCGGTGTGCTGGCTTGCAAGTTATAGGCAAGATCTGTCCTGTCTGTGGAGGAGCGTGTCTGACGCAGGCTGAGGTCTGGCCGTGTTAAGTGGTTCTTTATTTCTCAGCAGAGGACAAAAACCACTGCTCTAAAGGGAAATGACACAGACTACAGAGGTGTTGCTACTGATACATTTTTCCATTGTAAATTGCTGAGAACTTCTGCAGTGAAGCTGGTTGATGAGTTTCCTGATTTTTAGAAGCCTTGATGAATATGTATGGAAAGGTAGAGCAAATTTTATTAGAGACGGACAAAAGAAATTGCGAAGATATACATGAGTTGATCTGTAATCACAGATGACATATATCTAAGCTAAAGCAACAGCCTTAGACATTTATGGCCCATTTTTGATTAAGTTGTGCAATTAGTGTAATTAGGCAAAGAATATTCTTTGAATTTTAAATGTCCAGTGTATTAAAACAGAAAATTAACAGCCATTCTTTCGGCAGTTTTCATAAAGCCATTACTAGTGTAGGGCTGAGCCAAAGATGCTTATTCTCTCCTGTGTCTGAGTCTGAGCAGTTGAAGGATAAATTCTTTCTTCAGAGCTTTGTTGAAATGTGTTGAAAGCAACTCTAGGAATTTCATACCTGTGTACAGATCAGGCAACAGAACTTATGTTGCCCCTGTGCGGATAAAGAGCTGAAATGAGCTTTGTAATCTTCTTCTTTCACAGTACCAGCCATAGGAGACATACATTTTTCTAATCTGTGATGTTCTGCATTGATACCACTTGTATTGCTACCGCCTGCTATCCACAACCCACATTAAAGCAGATGACAATCCTGAGCCTCGGCGCTTCTTGCATTGTGCCCACGTCTGGCCACAGCCTTTGCTGAAATCAGCTGTAGTGTGTGTGTCGGTGGTGCCTGCCTCCTGCAGGAACCATACACAGCTACAGCACTGACGGTGTGAAATCAACAGTTTCCACAGAAATCCATCCCAAAAAGGCAGCTTTGAACTTTCTCCTGTGTCCGTAACAGAAGCCCAGGCAGCCCACCTCCTTCTCTACCTCGTTGGAGTCCTCAGTGTGTGACAGGAGCGAGCTGGGCACGTAGCGTTTATGGAAGGACCACTGTTATCACGTTGTGAAGTGGTGAGTAGCAATAGCACTTGTTGAAGTGAATACTCAGTACGCACATGGGGGTAACAAGTCTGCTTCTCAGGACTGTCTCCTTGAGAGTTAAACCCTCCCCCTAGGTGCACCACGACCCTGGCAAGACATACCACATGGTGTAAATTCTTAACCCAGCAGAAAGCTGTGTGGCTGGGATAAGGACCTTGTGGAAGTGCAAAAAAAGCTTTGGTAGGTAAGAAGTGGGTTGAAAATTAACAGCGTAAGTAAGTGGGGTAGGGCTTGCATGTGAGTTCTTAACAGTGTGCAAAGATGGGCATCCTACGGAAGGTTCCCGAAGGGCTTCCCAGCATGCTGGATGATTCACATTAGTAGTTGTTGGTGTGTGTTTACTAATTCAGTAGCTAAATCTTCATCTCGCAAGACCCACTGCCATAATTTTCTATGGTAAGAAACATGGGATTTTTCTTTCGATTTCATCTCCCATAATCCCTCTATTCCCTGGCATTTGTTCCTCACACTACTCAGATGTTCATGACTCTTCATGTTTCTCCCAATTATCAGGTGCAGGATGTCAGTCCAAGAATCTCAGTGTTAATAAGACTCTCTATTGTAACTGGAGCGCAGAGAAAACAAAGTAAGGCAATGTAGTGAGCTCAGAAGAGAGAGAAGTACAAAATCAGCACTGAGTCACCTAATTGCTGGAGGTGGAGAACTGTTTCTAATGAAAGATGAAAGGAGTCCTTAATTCCCCCTCTAAAGATAAGGAGCCCTACCAGTTTGTTGTACATTGGGTTTTTAGTGTACAAGAATCCTGTGTATAAACAAAACTTTGAACTGCAACTAGGCAAGTGGTATAAACGTAACAATGTCACCATCACCCCAGCTGATATAAAAAGAAAAAAGTGCCATTAAAAATTAATAGGTCTGGGCGTCAAGAGACCTCAGTAATAACCAGCAGAGTTTCCCTTCTGTAACAAGTCACTTTTTCAATTTGCCGATACTTGAATAATTCCTTGGAGTCTCCTAAACTGCACAACCCTGAAATCGCAGAATCGCTGAACAGGAAGAAGACGTTTACCCAGCAACCTGCTGTTTCCTTTCCTGGAGCATATCTGACCAACACATAATGCTAGTTTTGGAACTATAATCCCTTCACCACACAGGATTGCTAAAACTACACAAACAATCCACACTTCTTTAAAAGCAGATCCCCTCTCTCTCACTAACCCTTTCAATTTCTGAGAAAGAGTAGCAGGAAAAGGCCTGATTTTTAATATCTTCTGTCTTTTGCCAGGAGTAGACCCTGCTTAGGTAGAATTGTGTATCAGAAGCAGAGCTGCTTTCTCATAATAACAGCTGCTGGTACAACACCCAAGGGCTCTGTCATACATAAAGCTGTGCACAGAGCGATAGGTAAGTGTGCTGACTTCATTAAAAGGCATAGAGTAAATCTTCAACCTCAGCAGCAAGAAATTCAAACTACATCTCGCCCCATTGTACTGCTGCAGGGATAATATTGAAGGAGAAGATTGTAGAAGTTCTTCCACTGCATTAGATGCTTTTGTGTTCCCACTTCTACATAGGCTGCAGGAAGATAAAGGATGCCAAGTAACACCTCAGTGCCAAAAAGGAATACAGCATGGTTTGACCTACTGGTAAAGGTACTCCTTTGTTTTTTGGTTTTTTTTTCCTAGGTTTCAGAAAGCTTCTTGGCACATGGCAAGACATTGGAGTAAGTTGCAAACTACAGTCTTCCCTGAATTTTTAAAAAATTGGCAATTTTTTAAAAAAAAATGGCAATTTAAAAATTCCCTGAATTTTAAAAAAATTGGCAATTGGCAATGGTGTTGCCATTCACGCTATAGCTGCTGTTTTCTAATTGTTTACCAAAGCTAAGCATAGATCTATTTTATCATGAAAAAGCTGCAGGTGTCAGTTTCTCTTACTAGTTAGAAGCTATCCTAGTTCTTTAGGAATGGAGAATAGGAGCACTTGAAAAATTCAGCAAAATGGACTTGCTTGTGGCTTCCATTAAAAACAAAGTCAGCTTTTTAGTGTCAATGCTGAAATGAAACAAGTATGTTATCTATGGAAGAAAGTTTGTAGTGTTAAGGATGATCAGCTTTCGACTCCTTAAATGCCACCTTCTGCTCTAGATATCAAAATGCAACAGGGAACTCAAGAACTCTGTTTTTAGAATGGAGATACGGACAAGGTCAAAACAAGTGTCCCTTAAAACCAGTCTTCATCAGTTTTAGCTGCTCTGGCTCTAAAAGGAGCATGCAACGACTTGTTTTCAGTCACTGTTTTGTTTTTTAAAAATGTTTCCTTATGTAGGCATGGTCTGGTGCTTTTTTAAAAGACACAGGACTTAAAAAAAGAACAAATGCATTTCTTAATGTGTTTACTTTGAAAAAAAGTCACAGTTTATTGGAGACTACAGTTTTTAACAAAAAATTCATCAGTATTAAAGCAAAGATTTTCTAACCCATTTAACAGCTAACGAAACCATCCTTTTCTCCGTTCAGCGTAATGCTTCTTTTTATCCTGTCTTAAGAAAGACTTCATGACTGGTAGCAAAAAATTCTCCTCCAGAAGAAAACTGCTTAAGCACTGCTCCCTCAGAGCAAAAGATGTCTTCAGTAACAGTCAGCTTCATTCTCCTCTGTGGTCCCCACAGTAGCAAGGATGTCCTCTAAGAGGGACTGAGGGCTTTTCTCCACATGGTCACTACTTTTATTTAGTTCATCATGTAGCTCTTCTAAGTCTATTGTACCCAAAGCTAGCATCATGCTCTCTGGATCTTGAAAATCCACCCCATTACCACCATCTGTGGGGAAGTTCTGGGCCAGAGAACCTTGCCTTAGTGTCCTTTGTAACCAGGCAATGCCATGTCCTGCAGATGAATCTCCAGCCTCTTGTGAATCCTTCAAGGGACTAATTGGATAGAAATTACCTCTTAAGACAAGCAGTATATGACAGGCTCTCTGACCTACTGGTTTGTCACAGTCACACAAAGACCGAAACAAAAAGCTGAACAGTTTTGCTCGGCAAAATATCTGCAGCGACTCATTCTGATGAATGGAACTAGTGACTGCAGATGAGACAGGAGCATATGGGCATTTAGGAAGGCCAAGTTGGCAAATTGTATGAATGCAGAAAACTTCAACCAGTTCCAAACCACCAAGTCTGACTTCCCAGTCTAAGTCATGCTCCACAATTTGGATCACTCTAGAGACAAACTGCTCTGTATCTTCCAGCTGACCTGTGCAGCCTTGTCTCAGCCACTTGGTGAAGATGCTGATCACAGCCCTTCTAGGAAAGCCCTCTGGGTCTGTTGACAAGATTTCTTGAAGCTTTGCTACAGTGTTCTAAATGTAAAAAGACAAAGAGAAAGCACACTGAGGGGAGGAACATGCGAAGAAACAAGAACAGCGGAAGTAAAAAATCTAGTCTCTTCATTACTGGTTGTGAAATCTACCTGCATACGACTGCAGATAACATGTGAAGAAAGTTTTAAGTAGTACAGCAGTAAACTGATGTGTAGTTCTGCTTGATTCTGCAGTGGGCTACACAAAGTCATCATACCTCTTTATTATACTGATTCCCTATGACAGGTGACTCTGGAGCAAAGTAAGTAATGAAGGCCAAGTGTCCCACAGCAGTCACAGCACTCGCTCGCACGTAGCTTTCTGGATCCTCAAGAAGATTTTCTGTAAGCCTTGGCACCTCCGAAGACAGGAGAGACTGCCTGAACTCATCCTGGTCTGTAAACAAGAAGCGAGGCTTTATTCTCTCAGAGCATGAGGCTGTTTCCAATGCAAACAGTTCTTTGCGTCATACAAGGATGCCCACTGACTGCAGGGACAGCTGCCAGTGAGCTGAGCCCCTGCAGAGACCAGGCAGCTGCTCACAAGAGCACAGACGCTCTGTGTCAGGCTCCCCATTTTCCAGCAGCTTGGTGACTTTCAGTCAAGCCCTGCTAGACACTGCAACTTGGAAAAATCCATTTACACTTGTTCTAGCGGCAAGAAAAAATGTTCTCCGGGCAAGCGGGGACATAGTTTCCACCTCATCAAACTTATGCCTTTGCTTAAAGGACGAAAAAATAGTCTTCCTTTCCTGTTGTCAAGGCATACAGCAAAGAAAAAGAATGCAACTGCAGCACTGAGAGGGGCTGCAGGGTAAACTGCTAATGCAGCTGAGTGTGCTGGATACTTCCTTTGTGACCTGGGGACAACAGTAGTTGACAACATCCCGCTCTCTTCCAACATCACAGAGCTGCTGTAGGAGAATTAACATTACCATAGTGCTACCTGCTGCAAAGCCTGAGCTACCAGTAAAGTGGAAAATCAGTAATTAATCCAAAGCATGCAAAGCAGATCTAGGCTTTTAGCCTCCTAAATCCCAGCCCCCAGCCTGCTGAGTGAAACCAAAGAGACTCCACTGCAGAGCAAACTGAAAAAAAGAGAAAGTATTATCTGCCATTAAGCATTGTCACCTGCCTTGACATACATGTCTCAACATATATGACTGTCTCAACACCCCTCAGTTTAACTCACCAAAACTGCCATTAAGGAGGGCACAGCAATCTGAGTTCAGCAGAAAAGTAGGATAAGTTTATTAATCTTTTTGTCAGATTTTGATTATGATCCAAGAGTAAAAATCTTGACACTTCTTTCTTTTCTTACGCCTCCAGTTACAGGTCAGAGGATGCTTCACAAGCCTGCCTGACTTTCACAACATTAAAAGAAATACTCCTCCAATCTGAACTGTTAAATCTCTGTACCTACCTCTCCAGTATTTAATCAGGACAGTGAGGAACTCCAGAGAAGAATCTCTTACTTCCCAGCAGGGACTGCACAAACGCTTCTGCAGCACCAGAAACACATCTGTAAAAGCCAAGTGACAAGCTTGAACGGACACGAAAGGCAACAAGCCTTGCTGAAGCAGTCACTGTACAACCTCTATATCATTTTATCTGATCATTTTACCCCTTTTGCTGCTTCTCCCAGAGTCCTTCAAAGCACTATTTGGGCAGCTAAACCTAAATTCAACATAATTGCGAACAAACGAATCTTAAGTGCTTTGAGCAGGAAAGGTAGGCAAGAGCAGATTTCATATATGCCACTAGCTGCTGTTTGTCCCAACTTGAATAGCTTTGTTTTACCTTCCAAAATCTTCTCAGCTTGTTGCCACTGACTGTTGGAGCAGGACAGTTCCTGCAAGCGCACCAACCACTTGGATGTAGCTTGAAATGTTTTCTTTAGAACCTGAAGCAATATAAAGCAGATTTACTTTACTACAGGAGGAGGCATTGTTGCCTTTATGCTAGATAAAGTTTGTTTTAGCCTCAAACTCACAGAGAAATTCTCAGAGTAAACAAGTACATATGCTTCCTTACTAAGAAGTAAGCCACAAATAAATGGTGCTTATATAACATCTCTAACAAACGCCTAGAAAATGCCTCTTCTCAGCTTAGTATTATAAAGCTCTAGTACCTCCAGCTTTTGATTTGCAGTTGTCAGAGTCATTCAAACAAAACAAAGCAAGAAAATAAAACCCCTTAATGCAAAGAATTCGATACTTAAGGGCCATGTCAAGTTGAGTATGTCGGTGCTACTCTTAGATGTGATGGCTCCTGTCTTTTCAGGAACACTCAATGTATTGGTCAGTTACTCGCTCATTAGAATTTTAGCTATTTTCTGCAAGCCACACGGAACCAAGATAAGTCTCCTACATAATTCTAATACAAACTGTGCTAAGAAACAGCTATTGTCAGACAGTTTCTCAGAACCACATCCCTCTGGGGCAAGGTAATAGACTTGGATTTCTCCTTAGTTCTATACTCACAGTAGGGGTGGTGTTTGGACTCTCCAGGTATGCCAGAAGGACGTCAAATAGACTTCCTATGAGTGTGTCGCAGCCTGAAACATAGAAAACAAAACTAAAGGACCAATACTGAGAGAAGGAGCAGTTGAATTGCAATTCAACTGCTGAAATACAATTTCAGACACTGGATTGTAAAACTGTTGTTGAGAAGAAAGCAAGTACAGTCCTCAGAGTAAAGGAGAAACGTCCAATTTCTCAAAACCACTCAAACCTTTTTAATTACAGCATTACCTGCCCTAGCTCATCAACAGAAAGTAAGGTTAGCCAAGACAGTAGGAAGAATTGAAAAAAATTCTTCTTGAAAACAAGTTTCAGAAATGGAAGTGATGGTCTTCATTCAGAAAGGTCAGTGAAGGGGAATAAAAAATTCTGCAACTACAGAACAGTCAAGTATTTCCAAAATTAAAAAAAAATTAAAGTGCAAAGATTAACTCACCTTTTCGCTCCGAGAGTGCTGCTAGGACATCAAGAGCTGACCTCTGTACTCTGAAGGAATTGATCAAGATTCGGCTTATTGTGCTTCCCAGAGGAGACGCTGGACTCAGGAAGCCATTACAGAATTGTAATATTGTCATGAGAGAGCGTAGCAAAGATGTATAGGGTAAATCCACTGGCAAACGAATCTAATGCGAGGGGAGGAAAAAAAAAGAAAAAAAGTTTCCAGCAAAAGTCTCAAGCATGCATATAGAGCAGGAGTTTTTCGTCAGGAGGAAGCAAAAATTGCAATTTCTAGTGTGTTCTTAAGGTACCACAGTGCTAATAACTACAAACAAATTATCTTCTTCCCTCCCAAGAACTATTGCACAGACGGAAGGAGATTCTTCTCACTGCTTGGGGGGAAAGCAGTTCAATTTATGTTTTTTCACTGGATCAATAATTGCAGTAGAAGTAAGGTATGGTAACAAAGCTTGTGAAGATGGATTTAAAACTAAGTGCAGTCTCTCTTTACAAGCCCCAGTATTCCTCTGTTTTCCTATTTGGAGTCTACTGTGCTAGATTTCTTTAACATACGGAAGCCCTCACTGACTGTCAACTCCTCTCCACGTTCTGTTAAGCTCTACTGCAAAAGTTTGCAACCAATCTTAACGCTGTCTTTAAAGGACCAATTTGATCCCCAGGCTTTCTTCCTTCTCTGAATGTTACCAGAGACAGCAGCTCCTCCAGATGAGCGAGGGTCTGACACAGGAGACTAGCACAAGATGACTTGGAGGACAGAAGACTTTCAACAGTGATGGGATCACTAACAGACTCATCCAGCAAACCTAGAAGACCAAAGGAGGGAAGATCTTGGGTTGTTAGTCAATACAAAGGACTGTGATTTTTAAAGCTAATCAAGATATTCAGGTGATGTAGTATGAATATCCCTTCAAATACAACTGTCAGAAGGATGCTGCACTTCACCACAAACACTGCTACTGTCCTTGACTTCTTCTATTCTTCCTCCTCCAGTTTTGTCTGCACCAGACACTTAAAACACTGGCAAGCAGACTAGCCTCTAACTTTTCTATCACAACTGTACCTGCATATTCCAGAGGCTGGGAGGCTGCTCTCAAAATACAGTCCATTGGCTGAAGTAGAACAGTCAGTGCCTGAATCCTCACATCTTGTGGGCTTCAAGGAGGAAACAGCAGTTACCAAAACAAGAACACTTCAATTCCTTCCCAAACATCTGCCCCCAAATGCTGAGCAGAATAATTTTTTTCATGCAGGCTTTTAAACAAGCCAGCAATGACAGAGCAATGAAAGTATTATCGTAATTCAAGCCTTCTTCCAAGCTTCGCTGGCTAACTGAAAGCAGAGGAGAAATGGCTCTGGAATTTAGCAGCAGCCTTATCAAGCTATTCAAATAGACAGTGGGATTCTGTGTAAGAAGGAGGTTTAGAGAGGCATTTCTTGTCAACAAAATAGTGTCCTTGTATCTTAAGACACAGGTGTTACTTAGCCTGTAAATCAGTATCCATATGTGCTGTATTCATCTCATGATTTCTTGATGCTTTTTCACTACCTAAAGGGAAGTTATGGAGAAGATGCAGGCAGACTTCTCAGAGGTACACAACACAACAAGAATTTTAAATTGCAACAGGGTAGATTCAAACTGGATACACAGAAAATACTTTTCATAGTGAAATGAAAGTGGTTAAGAACAGGTTGCCCAGAGAAGCTGTGGAATCCTCATCCTTGGGGATGTTTAAAACTTGAATGGTGAAGGCCCTGAGCAACCTGATCTATCTTTGAAGTTAGCCCTGCAGTGCGCAAGAGGTTGAATTAGATCACTTCTACAAGTTCCTTCTAACCTAAGTTATTCTACAACTGTCGACAAAGTCTCCAGATACCCACTTCTGCTGGACAGCAGTGAAAGCTCTTACACTAGTCAGTGTTTTTGTGAAAGAGGAAACTGAACCGAGACTACTGGATTTGACAGGCAGTCAAATTGTGTCCATCTTAATCAACCCTGGCAGTATAAAGTCAAAGGCGTTTGCTATTTCTTCGTGAAATTGGCTGGCTGTAGGTAAGATGCAATTGTATACACATAAACATGATATTGGCTCCTTTCATTTCTCTCTCTTTGAAACTGTATTATTCTCACTATCAGTGTCTGAAGTTTGTTAGCTACTGGCATAGTTCTTGCCAACCAGTCTTACATATTAAGGAATGTAGTGGAAAATGCAGTGAGGAAAAAAACAGTTCTTGGAAAGACACCAGAGGTATTAGCACAGAAACATTTGCAGAGTACAAAAATTTCATTGCAGTAAGCCCTACCATTTGTAGAGCCTCAGAATTCCCACTGCCAAAGGACCCGCTTGTACTGGGGTTAAGTGTTCCAGAGCAGAAGTCACTAATGCCCAAAAATTGCCTTCAGTGTCACAAAACACAGGGGACCTGAGAAGAAAGAAGTGTAAGTAGTATGTCTTATTAGACAGTGGAAAACAAGTATCTCATCACTGGATCCAAGGTCCCAGAAGATCTTTACCATGCCATGTTAAGCAAAAGATTCGCCAGCATGTGCTGTGCTTGAACAGTCTCTTCCGTCAAAAAGGATTCTATTTGCTTTGCTATGCCTAACCAAAGTACTTCAGTCCACGTAGCACGACAACTGCCAAACAAACTAGTTAACAGTTTTAACGACTGCTCGATGTGAGAGGCAGAGCTGGACTGAAGGGAATCTTCTATACGCTTTATAATCATTTGGGCACACGCTGGCCAGTCACAGTCCTTTGTACTGAGAGGTTTAGTCGTTTCAGACTCTACAGAGAGGGTGAGCATGTGCACCAGAAGCTGACTGGCAGCTGAAGCCACAAACAGGCTGGGATCCCCTTGCAGAGTGAAGATCACATCTATGCCTCCTGTGTGAAAACAAAACAAGTCACTGGAGGAAAAAACAACAGCCTTCCTATTGTGAGGTGGAGCCTTGTTGCACTCCAACCTCATATTATTCTAATTCAAGTACCACACAGCTTTAAATGGTGTTGGTGGGGTTTTTTTATCCTTTATTTTGTAGTCTCTACAGCATTTCAAAGTCAGCCAGTCCTTAACAACAAATAGACAAACAAAAAGCAAACAAAAGAAGAAACTAAAATTGTTTTCAGATCCTCAGGTGTTTTAACAACTCAGGAACAGAAGAGGACTTCAATGTAACATTAGTAATATTAGGAGAGTTGACAGCACACTCACTGTGTATTTATGGAAGGAGCCTGTACCATCTCTGGACACAACCAGTGGGAAAAACATGAATGGCAGCAACAGTACTACTTTTCCATCACATGGACAGCAGCACATGCTGCACATTAATACCAATCCAGTCTTTTAGGCCCTTCTGTACATGGGATCTAAAGCTGGTGTTAACAGCAGAATTTACATACCTGCGTAACAACAATGGGACTGCAAATGTGTGCAAGTATTAAGAGATAAATGAGCCCCCGGTTAGTTTTTCTGCACTAAAATCATACTGAAATGTACCTTTTAGTGAGAGTTACAAATAAGAATACAAAAGGCTTTTAATAAGCTATTTTTATCATGTGTTTCATAAGATGTGCCTCTCTTCTCTCTAAAAAGGGCACCATCTTCAGTGTTTGGGAAAAAAATAATAAAAAAAATTAAAAGCATAACTAATTTAACAAAAACTCCACCATCTTTCAATGACTTCAGTGGTTTTGACATACGGCTTATTTTTATCTTAAATAAATGAAGACTCCTGTCTCTCTCATTTGACATCTGAGCAACAGACCAGAATGGAAGAGACAAAGAGGATTTGGGGAGTTACCAGTCCGAGAAGTACTCACCACCATTGCAGAGGAAGTGGAGGGCAGGCTGGTGATGCATCATGCTGTGCACACCCTCCACCCAGCCACTTCGCACAGATGCATCTTCCCACACTGCGCCGTTCAGAGGCCCATCCCTGCCAAAGAGCCTGACCAACAGCTTCTCCTGCTGAGGCCAGAGGAGAACACACAGAGTAAACGGTAAGCAAAGGGGCTCAAGGGGAGTGGAGAGGCTGCTCTGTCATCCAAGTCAAGAGTATCAACAGTGTAGTGAAACCTTCTCTTGTTAGAAGTATCACTAAAATAGAAAATTTTCAGAATCCCACGCTTAAACTCAACATATGTCTCTTCCATAGACAAAGCAATAGAGGTGTTCAAAACCAAAATTGCTTGGGTTTAGGGGTAACTTATGTCTATATCAGTTCCATTAGACTGCTTTATTCAGTTGTACGCATCTCTTCCCTGAAGGAAGCCTTTTGGGTTTTGAGTTTCGTACTATAAATGTATTCTACTGTAGAAAGCAGGGCTTTAAAAAGCTCCCTCAGTTTTCCAGGGAATCAGAGATTTCCTGTCAACCTACTATGGAGAGAAAACTACATCTGTTAGTGCAGTTTAAATCTACAGGATCTGTCCAGGGATACAATATTTTGCAATGACTGGTGTGAGATAGTGTTATCCCGTATACTGTTTTGAACTGAAAATGAGAAGCACTATCTATTAGCATTCATAGTACTTCTGTGGACAGAAGTAAGAAGACAGCAGCTTTACATGAGAACTGAAAAGGAACAGTATGAGTGTAGGTCTTCATTATCATATCACTGTTTGCTGAGTTATTCAATGTATGCCAGAAATTTTATAAGCAGAATACGTACATTTTCAGGTGTCCCCCATATAGAAGGAGGAAACAGACACGTGGCAGCAGCTACCTGGGTAGCCGACTCACCTGCAAGTGTTGGAAGCGGTTTTCGGAAGCGGCAAGTATCCCAGCTAACCGCAGAGTAAAGGAGAGGATGCTCGGACTGGGCTCTGGCAATGCCAGCACTGAGGTGATGAGCTCTGTCAGACAGGGGTTGTCCTGCACCAGCTTCACAGTAGGATCTAGCAACCGCGTGTTGCCCAAGAAGAGGCCAGAAAACAGAAGGTCACTGCCAGCACCTCTGTCCTTTCTCATGACTGTAAGGCGCTTGCCTGAGCTGATGTAACCCCTCACAGCTGACAGGGACGAATCTGGGTTCGCCTGAAGCCCAAGCCCAGGTACAGGCCTCAAGTACTAAACAGCGTTTTCAGGTGTCACTGAGGGAACAGCACCTCGGAGGGAGGCTTCCCCCGGGGCCCTGGCCTGCAGGCCTCCCTCCCCCTCGGACAAGTCCCTGCCGGTCACCGGCGGCCAGGGCTGGGGGGGGGCCCTGCAAGCGGCGGGC